CAGTTCTTTGAGGCGAACAGTGAAGTGAAATTTCACGAAAGAAGTTGATGACATTGATGCGAACGACGTCGTTTTGTGGGATGAGTAGTTTCAAACCCATTGTAGCTTATCGGTTTATAAAGACAACGCGTTTCATCCATGGTAGATCGTTTTCTGTGATCCTAAATGTAATTTTTTTAGAAACTTATATGTATTATGAGAATTTCTGGGTTTTTAGCATTTAAATTTTTTGAATTTTCTATGAATTTTTTCATGTCCATGTCTATGAATTTTGTTAATTTTTTTACATATTTGTTGGACCAACCCTAAATTATAAACCCTAAAACTCAACTCATCTGAATCAAAACTCTGAATCCAATATAAATAAAAGAGTGGCATTGCAAGAAACCAAAAGGAAAACAGAGAAACAAAATATCATACCTTCGAAGGCAATTGAGAACAGCTTCCAACAAACCCATTTTGAAATTCAAAAGCGAAACAAAAGAGCTTTTTAGTCAATTACCAAAGAGATAAGAGGAGTCCCGAGATCTCTCTCATTCAATGCCTTTTTTATCTTCCCTTCCCCTCCCTCATAAAGATGGATTTCAAAATTGGTTGGAGGATGATGGTGATAAATCAGGCGATTGGAGTGTCGGGCTTGGGTCGCTAGTCGTTGCTGACGTTGTTAGCGGCGACGGGACACCTCCATGGCGGTCGGAGATGCCTGATTAGAGGGTGACAGGAAAGGAGGTTCTGGTTCCTTCGACTAATCTGGGTAGTTGGTTTCTCCCATTAAAACATTTTTTTCATTTTAATTTATTTTTATTTGTAAAATTATTTTTTAATATTAAAAAATATGACACGTGACATTTTTAATGCGTTAACGGTCAAATTTAACGGTCCGTCACTGCGTAACCCATTTTGAGTTACGGAATAAAATGTTAGACACCAAACTAAAACGAAAAAAACGTTACACTAAATTGGAAAAACATACATACATTATTATTTTCATCTCTCAAACACTCTTATCATATTCGTATCATTTTCTTCTCTATCCAACAGAAAAATCAAGCTATATATTTATGCTCACGAAAAGAATTGTACACATGTATGAGAATAGATGATTTTGAAGGCAAACAAAAAAAACAAAACCCCAAACACATGACAAATGCGATTTGTGTTGGTTTACAGGACATGTAAGGAGTAGGACCCACAAATTCAGCAACATGATGAGTATGGACTGGAATCAGCATTTGACAACAGTAATCACAAGAAAAATGATTGTTTTAATCCTCAAATGAACAAACTTTTTATTTGTTTTAAATTTTTTTAGTTTTGATAATCATCACCCAACTCAAAATCCAGGAAAAGACATCAGCAACCCCACCTATTGGGCCTGAATGGATGTCATAACCTATTTGTTTTAATCCTCAATACCAGCAGCAATAAGACACATCCAACACTTTTTGGTCCATTCAGCTATGACAGAGTTAGAGAGCCACATGTCATAACTTTTCTTCCTTGGATTCTCCGAAAAGTTGTGGAATCCAACGACGTAAACTGCCGGCTTCAGCCACAGAAAATTTCAATATAATGTAGTGAATAATACAACCTGGACTGGAGTGTATCAAAAATAAATGAAAAGGTATTATGCATCGGTGTTTCACATGATGGAGCCTGGAGGTTTCCTTAATTACGTGGTACTTTTTGTTGATGGATACTCTTATCCAAGCTCAGATTCTCATTCAACAAAAACTTTTTTGGAGTAGTTGAGATGACAGACATTTTTGTTGGTAGAGGATGAAAAAATTGGCACTTGCTGAAGGGAACATGCGCGTGCTATCACAGGCAACAACTCAGATACTCCTGCCAATTCCAGGTTACAAGATAGATTCATATAAGAGAGCAATGTACTCGGGTTGTGCCACCGGAATTATCAGGTCTTCCTGTGCGAGAAGCACCTTGGCTGAGCTCCTCTCATTGTCATGTATTGTCCAATTCCAAACTTACGGTGAAATCAGTATTGTCGTCATTTTTTGAATTATGTTTTTTCCCACATTCCAAATAAGAAAGCTTTTCCTCCGGCCTAGTGTGATATAAGACTAGCTAATCGAATTGATGAGCAGAAAAACCAGTAAGGGTTTAGGGTTTAGACGAAAAAGCCCTAAACCGAGTCAACCTCGACTGATTTACTCTAGAGGAGCTTCATGACCACCAAACACCCTTCACTCAAATCTAAACCTCTAAACGACCCCTCATAACCCTTAAACACCAAAATAATCTTTCTCTCGAATCCTAGATAGACCCAAGAAAAACAAAGTTTTTGAGAAAAAATACCTTAGATAGGTGTAGGGGCTCCGATGAATGACAACCGTCGAAAAAGGTATGGCTTTTGTTCTCTCTAAGTTTCTCTTTTTGATTTTTCTTTCTTTTTATTTTTTGGTCGCTTGGTTAGTTACTCGATTAAAAAAAAACCCTATTTTGTTTTTTCCTTTCGTTTATATACCCCACCCTCTAAAAAATAAAAACGGCTTCTCTTTTAATTTTTTTCTTTGTTTGTTTGCATGTGTGAGAATAACCTTCGATCTTGCTTGCAAGTATGATCGAGGGATCTGAGCCAATCATGATTAAAACTTTTATTAATCTTTTTGTTTTCTTTTACAGTGTATGAGAGAAAGGGAAAGGTATAACCTTTTCCGTTGACTTCCTACTATAAGGATGGATCAAAGGTTGAGATCTCTCCACCAACGATCTCCTTGTCCTTTTCTTTGGAGTTTTGCTGATACACCTCTGCCAACTTCTTCTGTCACAGTAGCAGAGGAGGTGCAACGGATTGCACGAATGGAGGAGAGGACCACTCACGAGCGCATAAGAGTTTGAGAGAACGTTCCTGGCGCGTCGATATCTTGAACATTCACCGGTGCATCACACGCGACGAATACAGATCGTCGGATGAACTTTGAGGGACTCAAATACGATATGGGCCATTAGATATTGGAGCTAGATCTAACAGCCAACAATTAGCTGCACAGATTCAAAATCGTATAAAACCCCTAGGGTTTGTCTTGTTGTGATCTGAACCGTTGAACACCTTTTGGATCTTGCGGTCAGTGCTTCATGCGAAGCATGGCTGAACATCGTTGATAAGGTTTCCTCAATTTGACATACAAACTTCCTTGCGTTGAGCCACTCCAGACATTTAGGTCATTTAGGACATATTGGATACTTTGAATTTGTTTGTTAACATTCTGGTTCTATAATTTAGGCTCGTAAAAAAATAAATTTTGGTTTAATATTTAATCAATATATAAATATTTATCATAGTATATATATACACATTTATAATATCTTTATAATTGCACGCATATAACATATGTGTGCTATACATGCACGCGCATAACATATATAAACTCACACATATATTTACACATATATCATCTATATATATATATATATATATCAACACAACATAAACCCTAAGTTATAAGCCTTAAACCCCAAACCCAAACAATTATAATTGATTTGGTATTATAAATATTATAGTGAATAAATTTTACGTGGGCTTTGAATAAATAATATAAAATAATTAGTGACGTTATAACGACGCAATTTATAGTCATATGTTATCGGAAGTTGAAATAAAATTTCGTCTCACTTAAAATAGTTCCCTTCAAAACAATTTTCATATATGAGACGAAAATTAAATAAAATAAAGATAAAATGCAATGCATGTATAAATAAATAAATAAATACATAGTTGAACAGTTTTCATATGCAGTTTTCATAAATTTAAAAAGAGGAAACACGAAGAGACGGATACGCAAAAGTCAACGATAGCAAGCTACGAGAATGAATAAAGTCAAATGGGTTAAAAATTAAACTAAGACAACACTACTCCGCTACCCTAGTTCTAAACCTTCATAAATGGATTAAAACCTAGACCTCAATTGAGATTGTTCTCCTTAAAACATGTATCATCTCACTATGAGGAAGTACTATTTTTCTCAATAAAAATCAAGTGAAAAGAGAAAATCAAATTAACTCTCTTCACCAAATACCTATATTCTACGAATTGTAAAATAAATTCGGATGTATTTTGCATGTTATCAAGATAACCGATCTTTTCATTTCTAGGCGGAATATTGCAGATCAAGCTGCAAAAAACCATCCCATTGTTGCAATATTCAGCCCATCTTACAGAGCCTCCATAGTGTGCTCTGCTTTAATGCCGAGCATTCATGTCCTAAAGCTTCTTATGCTGCTAAACAGTATAAATAATATTCGTTGCAACTCCAAACTTAAATCTTATTCTTTTGAGATTGTGCCAGTGATTCCATGGGCATTAACAATAATTGTAGTATGCAAGGTGCCTAAAAAAAGGGCACATTAGATTTCCTTGGATTCTAAGAGCATGGTGGGCTTTCAGTTTCCTTTTGTCCTATATGTCTACAGTTCTTGATATCTACTAGAAAACTGCAAAGCTCGGCCATCTTAAAATGCTAGATTATGCAAACTTTATCAGTATCCTTGCATCCTTTGTCTTACTGATAATATCAATCAGAGGAACACAGGTTTAGTCTTTATCGACTCCAATAGCATTGCTGAGCCACTTAGTGGAAAAACTGATAAACCTTCGAACCAGAACAGGGGGTCTCCATATGGAAGAGCAACCCTTCTTGAACTCATTACCTTCGCTTGGCTCAATCCGTTGTCTTTGTGCTATTGTCTCAACCATCTTGCACATAGAAAGGATAGTGTGAGAAGGAATCCACTTTTTATGTCCTTGTTTTTCTTCTCAGCTTGGAACTTTACAAAGTCATCAATAAGATACGGACCAATATATGATGCTCCTGCACTTATCACTGCAAACATTGCATTAATTGCAGACTTTTGTCCGTTTGTCGAACCATCTTTCTCTCTAACTTGTTTTAGATTCTGATAAAAGACAAAGGAAACAAATTTCGCTGTGTCGTTAACAGTTATGCATTTCAAAAGATCAGATTTGAAGTAGGGAAGTCTGACCTGACACCACCTAGCCTTGGCCTTGGTCCTGTTCGTGCACACCCATATATGTGAATTACCGCACTTGGTGCACTGTATACAGATCGATTCTTCAGAGCGATGATCTGAAGTAGATTGCTGAAAGGAGTGTTAAAAGATATTAGTTTACACAACAACTCGGCACCATTGAACTGATAAGGAATCTCATCGATAAGGAAACTCTCCAGAGCAAAAATAATGCAAGAAAAACAGCAAGGAACGAACAGAAATCAGAATTACCTGCCGTGTAGAGCTATGGGACTTTTGACAGACACTTCTAGTCTTGGATTCTTCTTATCTCAATTGCTCATCATAGTCCCTCATCTTCATGGAATCAGAAAGGACCTACAAATAGACAACAACGGCAGCTGTGTAAATGAGCCATAATTTCTTGAATCGTTGAGAATGTTCAACTATCGTTTGAGATAATCGGAAGTTCGGAACTCAAAATGAAAAACCACGCAAAGACTATAACAATAACAATAAGAACATAGTTACTCACCTCATAAGCACATTGAAGTTTCTTAAATGACTCAATTGCTAAAAGACTTCCCATGTTTTTGTCAGGATGTACAAGCATGGCCTGTCAAAATAGAATTCCAAGAAAGTAAATAGAGAAAATTAGGGAATACTAAAGACGAGGGAACCCCAATGCTTCATAATGATCTGTGCTATTTAATATTATTTTCATTTCATCAGTTGAACTTGTGATGCAAACACGTTTTCACCTACAAAGGGAGTACTCTTGAACATTTTTATATTGAATTTACTTTATACTAGTTTAATAATATATGCTATTATAATACATCTTATGTTAAGAATACTAGTTATGTAGTTAATAAATAACTTAGCATAAATATATATTCATACATCATGCACATTGTTATTTTAATATGATAAGCATGTTAGAATATTCTTACAATCATATTAAGCATGATTATCACATATACATCATAACAACATACTTATCATTCATTTTATATGCATTCATATTAGCTCATAGACTTTATAAGCTCACACACATTATGAGATGATATATTTAGCTCATGACATACAAACATAGCTCACAATACCATAATCATGCATGGCAACAAGGTATTTAGCTCATATCAGCTCAATGCCATGGAATTACCTTGTTTTTTTTGCACATGTAGGTACATTGGAACATGGCACACATTGGGGTAGCTTGGTGGATTATTTGGACATCATATGCAGCTCACAAACAGCTCACAAAGTACAAGGCAACTCGTGGAACAGTAAGGAAAGCTCAACTCAGCTAGAGGAGCTCAAGGCTAGCTAATCTCAGCTAGTTGGACTATTTGAAGCTGAATTGCCCAAAGTGATATCAATGGTAGCTGAATGTAGCTGAACATGCTGCTATGAAGCTTACAAGGTCTCAGCTAGGAAGCTTATTCACAAAGCAACCCCTTGTTTGCTAGTTAGCTACACACTCAAGCAAGCTTGGAGGAAGACACATGCACGCCCAAGATGGTGCACATGACCAGCCTTCAACCCATGCATAAGGCTGCACCACAAGGCTCCCTAGAACACCTATGTGCGTTCCATATGACCAGCCCCCATGTGCCTTGTATGTGGTCTCATTTAGGCACCAAGATGAAGAGCCATCTAACCATTCGGCCAAGCATCATTTCCTCTCCCATTTGGCGCCAACTTGAAGGGACACAAGAGCTATTCGGCCAAGGGTTATTTCCCTTCATCTAGGTCCAAAACATCATCTCATTTAGCATTAAATTATGTCATTTTAAAGAGGCACAAGGCCTGGACGAAACCCCTTGTAATCATTCGGCCATGCCTCTCCATTTCCTATAAATAGGCTATCATATTTCATTTGTAATCAGACCTTTTTGATTAATTAAAGTGAGATTATTCTCTTTCCTTAGTCCTGGTGACTTTTATCGACTTATCAAGTATTTTAATACTTGTGGCGTCAACCCCTTCCCCTTGATACTTGTGGTTCATATCTCCATATAGATAGTGGGTCCAAGTCCTTAATACCACCCTAAAGAAGCAATATAAAGTCTGGGTCTTTGCTCTATATAGCATTGGTTCTTCTTTGAGTCTTCTTTAAGATATTATCCTCACAACCACTCCATTGTTTTATCAACCAAAACCATAGTCAAATCAACATCCTTCCGCTACCATCTCTCAAATCATAAATAGCCTACCTATTCACCTTTACATTTACCACCTTTAACCATATGTTTTAAGTTATTCACTTATGCAGGTTATTTTGCTTCCTTCCTAGATCCTCAATCAATTGAAGAGGTAGAATTACCTTATATCAAGCGGTAATCAGAGCTTTGGTGGAAGAAGCAACGTGCAACAACAAAAATATAAAAAAGAAGTGCAAGTGAAGTGCAAGTGAGTACAAGTGAAAGAAAAAGAAAAAAAATCAGCAAACAAATTGAAGCACTCCAAAGAAGAAAATTCCAGTACTCAAAAAAAGAAAAAAAAAGCAAAGAATAGAAAGAAAGAAAAGTTGAAAGCACTCAACAACAATTCTCATCACCAAGCCATTCAAGTAAGCCTTTAGATTGATTGTGGTGATAGAAGGTTGTAAAGTGACTTTGTGTAGGTAACCCTTTTTGTTCTCTTCTTTCTATTTCTAAGTCACCCTTTAATTATATTTTGTTTTTCCATTCCTACTAACCCTTTTGTAGCCGATGCCCAACAAGTAAAATCTACTTGATACCGTTTTGAGTAAAGTCCTCTAGAACTTGGGATAAAGAGAATTGAGAGGAAAAAGACTTGAGCGTGTGTGAGATCAGAAGAGGACAAGTAAAAGCCTTAAAGTCCTAGAGTGCAAACACGAGCGGATTGAGTGATATTTAAGATTTCTTGGAGTGACTCGCGAGGCTTTGTGAGAGTATTATCTGGTAAGGTCTTTTACACATTTTTTTCTTATTTCACTAATCATGTCTCAGAGTCCAGGACGAACCCCAGAAAGAGAAGCTCCTAACTTGTAAACTCAAGCCATTATGCATGAAATGACAAGATTGCTGAAATTAGAATTGGAGCCTTTGCATGATTGTATGGATCAATTTGAAGCATCCTTAGGCAACCGAAGAGTAAATCGCCCCGAGGAATTTGCTCTATTCTTTATGAGTTATTTGTTCTTGTTGCCTATTGTAGACACCCGTTTTTGTCCGGGTCTACAAAAAAATTATTATATTATATATTTATTATTATTTTATTTTATTTTATTATTTTTGTAGGCCCCACACTCAATAACCCCGATTTAGTGAGATTCAGAAAACAAACCAACGTATTTGAGTTCTATTGAAACACTAAAACCGAAGTATTTTGAGTCCAAGTAGGACTCTAAATCTGAGCTAAAAATAGGTTTCTTTAGACTATAAATAGACTCAAGCATCAAGAGTAAACACACAGAGAGAAAAACATGGAATCAAAATCAGAGGAAGGGGCAACGATTTGGAAAAACCAAGAGAAGAAAAGGACAAAAAATAAGCATGGAGGATCCAAAGCCATTATCTAAAAGCACGAGGAGTGGCAGTGCATTTTCATTGCAAATCCAGTTTCTCTACACGCAAAACATGGGAAATGTAACAACTTTTGACTTATTCTTTTTATTTTATTTTCTATTTATTTACTTTATATATATTTTTCATTTTCTCCTAATTTTAATATTTTTTATTTCTTTTTACATTTATATATATATATATATATATATTTATTTTATATTAATATTATTATATTAATATTTTTTTATTATTCTTTTCTCATGTTTATTTTCATTTTTACAATCTAATACTTTTGACTTTTTAGGGATACTTTCAATCGATCAAAGATAATTAATTCGGATTGAATTTTTGAATTTCAATTTAAATTTAAATTTTCGCAATTAAAGACAACCGATAAATTAATTGGTACCGAAAGGGCGGTTCAAGGGTGCTAATCCTTCCTTGGCCGTAACCGACTCCCGAACCTAACATGTTTCTGGTACAACGCAGATCAGGTAAGATGGTGTACAACCTACCTAAATTCGTTTTAAAGTGGTCGATGACGACTCCAATTCATTTAATCTAAGTCGAAGCCCAATTCCGGGGTCCAACTGAAAGACGGTTCCAACACCTATCTTTGTGGCCAGGAGTAGCCACACTCGTGTTAGCACTTCCACATGATAGTCCGACCTTGGTGGCTTGGAATAGCCACGTTGGTGTTAAAGCTTCCGCAATCCGAAGCCTTGAGGGCTTGGTTCCAACCTTTGTGAGTTTGCATACTCACTAGGCATGGGTAAGGCTTACTTAGTCACCGAGAAAGATCGAGAAGCGTCAAGAAGTGTCTAAGGCTGCACGACCCGTTAGACCTTGAATCTGATATTCCGACGGTTTGAGGCGTCGAAGTTCTGAGGGAGTGACAAGTGCTCATTTATGCATATTTAGATCATTTAGTAAATTACTTCATTCATGCATCTAGTTCATTGAATAAAGTTAGTTCATTAATTAAACTAGTTCATTCATCAAACTAGTTCATTTAATAAACTAACTCTTAATTGTTTCATGCATATTTTCAATTAAAGATTGAATAAAATTCACCTTTGTGTCTAGGTGCATGAGAGAAGTTGAACAGTTTCAACAGATGCAAGAATATCAATCATAATGTCTTCTAATTATGGATGCGATTCAGATGTTTTTGGGCCCATAAATCAATTGGAAATTATTCATCTATCTCTTAGCTTTCCAACGCCTTTTGAATCACCTCAATTCGATATCGGGAGCTTGAGATATGATCGATTTACTGAAGATAGTGCAAGCTGAAATTTTCATTACGGGAATTTCATGCATGGATGATTTGGATGAGTTTGAGCCAAGGAAGAGTCCTTTCATCTTCTACCAAGAGACAAGCCATTTAAGGTCTCTTTATTCACCTAATTCAAAGCATTCAAGGCTGATTTAATCATCCAAACCAAGGACTGATTTAATCATCCAAACCAAGGGCTGATTTAATCATTCAAACCAAGGGCTGTTCATATTCTTGGAGAGACAATGCTTTCAATCCTTCATAATTCACCTATTCAAGTCTTACTTATCATTCTTTTAAGGCTATTCACATGCTACCAAGGAACAAGAAATGAAGGCTGATTTTATTTCATTTAATCATCAAATTAAGTGATAAAATCAACAAGGAATTTGAAGAGACAAGCTGATTTGGACATGTAGGATGTCCACATTCATCATATGACTTCATTTAACCTATTTCTTCCATTTGCAAGCAAAGCAATGCAGCCAAGAGTCACCCCTCCTTCTTGGACGAAATTAAGGTCATATTCAGCTTCAAATTATCTAGATTCATCCCCAAAATGATCTAGAATATTCATCCAACTTTGAAGATAAGAAGACAAAGCATTCAAGTGCATTTTATTGCTAAATTGATGAGAATGTTATCATCTTTTGAGTATTTTCATATGATTCTTAGAAATACTATAAATAGGTACCTTCAGTATCATTTTTACACACAATTTGATTTAGGAAAATACTTTGAAAGATTGCTTTCATTTTAGTTCTTGGATTAGAACTCTATCGGTTTCTTGTCGGTCTTGAAACCTTCATCCATATCATCTTGTTATAGCGTTGGTTACTAGCTCTACTATAGCTAGTGGGTCACGTTCCACCCTCTATCACTTCGATTCCATCTTTATTATATTGTTGGTTCCTAACTCATATATAGTTAGAGGGTCACAATCCATCTTTTAAATTACTATCATTCTCCACGCCAACTACAAACATCCTTCACCATTTTCGTTACATCCATTCAACCACTATCCCCACCACACTTCTTTCATTTACAATCCACTTCAACTTCATTCTATCATTTTCATTACTTTCATACACATATTTATATATGCATATTTCCCTTCTTATAACGTTGTTTGTGCATTTTCAGTCTTCAATCAAAGCACTACGAAGTTCTTACTAGAATCACGATCGGGCAACATCGTATATGACTCGGAACATATAATCGAGATCATATCATTGAATATTATAGATCATTTGGGAATGAATCTAGACAATTTGAAGCTGAATTTGGCCTTAATTTCGTCTAAGGGGTGGAAGACTATTGCTATTCCATGCTGAAAATTGTCTAAACAAGTGAATTAATTCACCCTTCATTGCATGCTCCCTTGAAGAATATGAACATCTCTTGAACTTAGATGATAACAATCAGCTTTGAATGCCTTGAATGGGTGAATTAAGAGTCTTGCAATGGCTTGTTACTTGGCTGAAGTTGAAAAGACTCTCCCTTGGCTCAAACTCTTCCAAATCATCCATGCATAAAATTCCCGTAATAAAATTCCAGCCTGCACTGTCTTCAATAAATCGATCATATCTCAAGTTCCCGATATTGGATTAAGGTGATTCAAAAGGCTTTGGAAAGCTAAGAGATAGAGGAATAATGCCCAATTGATTTATAGAACCAAACACATCTGTATCGCATCCAGAATTGGAAGACATTCTGACTGACATTCTTGCATATGATGAAACCATTCAACTTCTCTCATGCACCTAGAACACAAAGATAAACTTTATTCAATCATAACATTTATATATGCATGGATAATTAAGAGTTCAAAAACAGATAGCAATCAATCTCTGACCTAGAAATATAATGCAGGAGTGTTCAATATTGAGGCATTTGATCTCATTCAAGTTTCTGTATCAATTGAGAGGATAGAGGGAACATAGTCCTGCTGACTACACGGTGAATTCAAAGTAAAATAAACATTTCTAGTTTCCTATTTTTGGTAAAAAGCTTCAGAAACTAAAACTAACCAACCTCATCCTCACTGAATCGTTCAGCGTTGCAAATTCGCTCAAAGAGTTCATCACCAGCTGCATACTCCATTACAATTGCAAGGTGTGTGGGAGTCAAAATCACCTGCAAAATTGAAAAAGAAATAGTTAATTCAATTATAATCATCTAAAGATGAAAAAAGATAATAATAAGAGAATAAAAAATTAATACCTCTTTGAACCGAATTATATTAGGATGATGTAGCGATCTGTGATTTATAATCTCTCTAGCCACATTCTCATCAATATGTTCAAAGTTAAAATGCAACAAATTTCCAATTTGCTTTCAATCATGTAACAAACAACAATCAATGTTTCACTCAGCTGCAGATTTCAATCTCTAAGAAACTAAAGACAATGATTTCGTTTAAAAAAATAGAAACAATCCTTTATTTGCATCGTACATGCATACAATAATTCATAGAGAGAAAGACAAATGTAAGAAAAAAGGAGAGAAAGAGTGCGTGTGCGTGTGTGTGTGAGAGAGAGAAAGAGAGAGAACGGAACCTTTTGTCCACGGTCGATATACTTCATAGCGACGAGTTCTTTGGTTTCTTTGTTATGCATCAACCTCTCAACGACAAAGTTCCCGGATCCTATATCTTTCACCGTCTCGTACTTATCCATCTCTTTTTCCTTTCTTTACAAATAAATCAGATAAATCTGTCGTAACCGGTTTTCGTCCGGGCACGAAATTATTTATTTGGCGGGAAAATTGATGTGAATGAATGGTTTTGAAAATAATTTGGGAGTCGCCATCGGCCTTTTGGGTCAGGTAGGTCGAATACCTAAAAATTATTTTTAAAAGAGTTTTAAGAAAACATCAATTAAAAAAGAACTGATCTGCGTTATAACCAAAAATTCGTTCTTTTTAATAATAAAAAGGGATTCGTGGTCGGTTATGTTTAGGGAAGGATTAGCACCCCTACAACGCCCAAAATTGGTACTTTTTAATTATAAATTGTCTCTATTATTAAAATTTTAAAAAATTCAAAATATATTTAATTTATAATCATATTATTTTAAAATATATTTATTTTTAAAATATCAGAAAAGGACTTCTAGGTGCCTTAAGACAGCTCTTTTCTTTGATATTGATAAATATTAATTTAAATAATATTTTTTATAATTTTTAATTTTAAAATATCAGAATAGGACATCCAGTTGTATTAAGACTGTCATTTTCTTCGATATTTAAAAAATAAATATTAAAATAATTTATTAAAAATATATAAATAATTATTTATTATATATTTATAACTATATAATATAAAAGTATTTAAATATATAAACAAATAAAACAATAAAAATACAACTAGAACGATATATTTAAAAGTAATAAAATAAATGAAAACATTTAAAATAAATGACTAAAATATAGTAAAAGTAAATTAAAAAACCTAATTTATAATTAATCAAAATTATAGGGATTAAACATGCTATTTATTTTTTAATAATTTAGTGACTAAAATAAACTTATCTAAAATTCGAATATAAGATTAAAATAAATTAAAAATATAAACTAGGGATTATTATTTATTAAAGTTAAGGGATTAAATCTGTTATTTATCCTAAATATATTATTTTAATATAAAGGACTAAAATAAATGAAATTAAAATTAAAGATCTGAATTAAAAAGATTATAAACTTGATTTAGTGACTAAAATGTAAAGTTTACAAATTCGGAGTGGCTTCGGACGGGGTTTACCCTTTGTGAAATTACAGAAATACCCTCTCCAAAACGACGTCGTTTGGGAGAGGGTATTTATTCCCTAAGCCGGCTGGCCCTACGGGCCAGCCTCTCATTTCCTCCTTTCTCTTCTCTCTCAAACAGAGAGAGAGAAGAGTTCTCTGGCTTCTCTCTAAATTGAGAGAAGCCGTCCCGGTCAGCCACCGTTGTCGGGCTCCGACCACCGCTGTCGGCCACCGTTAATGGTGGCCGGAAATTACAAAAATCCACCAAAATATAGATCGGGATTGTCTAAAACCGTTTCCGGTGTTTTTTCCTTAAAAAAGCTCCCAATCGGAGCAAATCTACAAAAGTACCTTCGGTTTTCGTTGTATCCGGCGACGGTTGGGGTTCTCCGATGATAGAGTAAGCTTCTTTCCTCTTCTCTCTTTTTTTTTCACGTTGATGTTGACTGAGATCGTTGGTATATTTTTTAGTATATCTTTTTTTTTGTTTTTCTCTCTGTCTTTCTGTGTTCTCTGTCTCTCCGTCCTCCTTGCTGTAGATTCGGTGGCCATATTTAGGCCTCATCGGACCTCGTCTCGGACCGGTCATTAGAGTGATTTTAGGTGAGTCACCGAACTTGTGGTGACTCACCCTTGAGCATTGACGTGTGGAGGGCAGCTGGGTCTTATGGAGGCTTCGTCGACGAGGTGGCGTGGTATTGTAGTGTCGGCAGCATCTGGTTGAACCATCTGGCTTGGGAGGCGTCGGCAGAGGCGGCTGCTGAGATTTCTTGGAGCGGCGGCGGCGGCAGAGGCGGCTAGGGTTAGAGAACCCTAACTGAAACCCTAAATGTTTTGGGTTTCAGTTTGGTTTGGGCCGATAATTTGGCTTGTAATTTTTTTAATATATATATATATATTTAATAATAATAATAATAATAATAATATTTATAATAATAATAATTATAATAATTATAATAATAATAATTATTAGAATTATAATAATAATAATAAATTAATATGGGTAAAAAATTAGTATCTTCAACTGCCCTCTTTGCTCATTCTTGTGTTAACAGGAATAGGGCAAAGATGAAAAGATAAATTTTTTTATCCATTTGGCTTCACTTGATCATAATGGAGATGTTGAATAAATTCTTCTCTTTCTTTCAAATGAGTTATTCTCATTATGAACTTTCCGCTGGGGATGATGTTGACCTCTTTCTTTCTGTGATAGAGTCATTCAAAAGGTTAAATAAGCTCTTGATGAGTTCTTCTCATTATGAACTTTCTCTAGAAAGGCTGATGCTAATCTATCTCCTTCTGTGATGGAATTATGCAAAAAGTTGAACAAGCTCTTCTTATTATGAACTTCTTCTTCCTTCTTCAGATGAGTTCTTCTCATTATGAACTTCTCTGGAAAAGCTGCTCCATCAAGTGATGTATTTGAGCAAAAGGTTGAACAAATTCTTCTCATTATGAACTTTTTCTTCTTTCTTCAGATGAATTCTTCTCATTATGAACTTCTCTGGAAAAACTGATCCATCAAGTGATGAATTCAGGCAAAAGGTTGAACAAATTCTTCTCATTATGAATTCTTTTTCCTTCTTCAGATGAGTTCTTCTCATTATGAACTTCTCTCTGGAAAAGCTAATCCATCAAGTGATGAATTCAGGCAAAAGGTTGAACAAATTCTTCATTATGAATTTCTTCTTCCTTCTTCAGACGAGTTCTTTCATTATGAACTTTCTCTGGAAAAGCTGATCCATCAAGTGATGGATTTGAGCAAAAGGTTGAACAAGCTCTTCTCATTATGAACTTTTCTTCCTTCTCAGATGAGTTCTTCTCATTATGAACTCTCTCTGGAAAAGCTGATCCATCAAGTAATGGATTTAAATCTTTGCTAAGAATCTTTGGAATTCCTGTTAAAAATTCAGTATGGATGAAAATGAATGAAAATGCACCTATAAATACCTAAATGATGCATGAATGTTAAGTTATTTGATTTCAGATTGGTGAAATGAGTATTTCTTCAGTTGTAGAAACCCAATAAATCTTTCTTCTTCAAATCAGAGAATCTATCATCTTGACAAATGTAGATTTAGATATAATGTCACAACACCTCTTGAGAATAAAACTCAATGGCATAAGCTCTTGAAAAGCTTGCCTTCATGACATGTTGATTCTGATAACAACTCATCTGATTATGAAATGTCCTTCAAGATGATTTCACAGATATCGATAGTTCTTTTAATACCAAGAAATCTTGAATTCTGATTCTGATGAGGAGAATAAACTGTTATACTTGACAAAAATGAGATTCTCAGAGGCTGAAGTTTCAATAGCCATGGAGATATGTGGTCCAGATTCATCAATTGCAAATTTTATGTACTGCTCAAATGGCTAAAGCTGCTGACAAATTTCTTCTAGTAAGAGATGGGAAGCCATTATGCAATGATCCCAGTATAAGCAAAGGCGAAACTTGTGCTATGATTTTTGGGAAAGGAATAAGCACAAGAAACTTGAAAAGAAATTTCTTAATGA